CTTTTTGCACCTTCATTTTGGTCGCTGTGTTGCCTTTCTGTGTCTTCATTTTTGGTCGCTGTGTGGTGCCGTTTCTGTGCCTTTGGCTTCAGTGTGCAAGAAAAGTGTCAGTGTGTGGGTAAAGGGTGGTAAGGCATGGGAGTCTTAGACCAAAACAAAAAAAACGTGTGTTTACCTCGTTTTCATTGTGAATGGGTGTGGTGTGTTGTGGTTTCGGCGTTTTGGCAGAGAGTCGTGTGTGTCATAGAGTGTGGTGTGTGTCATTGTGTGGGTGCAAAGTGGCTTTCGTGGGTGGTGCGTGTCTGTCGGCTGGGTGTGGAAGTGTGCGGGTGGTGAAAGGTGTGTGGATTTGGAGACACAAAAAGAAGGCAAGAAATCAACTCCAAAAGGTAGGGAAGCCGAAGTGACCTCCACAGTGCGAGAAAGATCGCACGCGAACAATGCAAGACTGCTTTGTCTTAAATGCCAGCTAAAGACAAGTTTAGCAAGCCAAGAACACGCGTATCAACGGCGTTTTTTGTTTTCTTGAGTGTTGATGCAAACAGTATCGAATAGAAAAAATCTTGTTTGTCTGTGAGTTGATTTCAATTGTTATTGAACTCAAATGAGTTCCAAAAGCAGCTCAATTCTGGGCACCGAAAACGGGCCCTAGATTTTGGATTTCTTGTGAACATACAAGGCCACCCAGGTTGGAGCCTCAAATTGGAACCCAAGTTTAGGAGCCATTTTTGGGCCCAGTTGCGGCGTTTTTTTCACACACGGGAAGCCAGATCTGGCTTTCACAGCTCCTCGTTGCGAGTAAAACAAATAAGCCTCTCAGTCGGTTCCAGTCTAAGTCTTGTGTCAGTCTTCCCCCAAAATTAGAACAGCAGGCAGCAAGGCGGCAAAGTGTGAACTTGTTTGGAACCGGAACTTTCTCTAACTGTGGAGGTCACTGGAGCTTCCCTACCTTTTCGATCAGTTTTGCTGCCCCTCATCTTGGGTTTCAGATTCTACAGGTTTTGGTGCAAGGCCTGAAGGCAGAAGAGGAGAAAAGAAGGGTGCAGAGTCAACATCGGTGGAAACTGCAGCTTGCAAAAGTTCAATGCTTTGAAACGAGTGTTTTCAAAAGCCTCTGACATGCCGTTTGGACAGAAATCAACTGCAGGACGAGACGAGTTCAACCGTGGTGTTGATTCGTTAAGGTTGCGCGCGACGCCCAAGCCAAACCGCTTGGAAATTGCAAAGTGTATTACCAGAATGTGAATAAGTGCGAGCGAAGCGAGCGAAACACCAGAGTAAATTCAACAAATTTAACTGATCAAGTGTTGATTCTGAGGGTTTTTGCAACATTTTCGGAGACTTCAGAAATTTTGAAAATTTGTTGAATGGTGCTGAATCCAGGGAATAATTGCAACACGCAACCAAAACGAAAGACAAAGAATTGAGGGCACCCAACTTGAAAAAGAAAGCAGAGTTTCTTCTGCTCAGTCAATCTTCTGTTAAATTTCAGTGTGCTCTAAATTTCTGTTTGGTCATTTTGGAAAATCAAAGACAGCAATCGAAGCTTTGTTAAAAAAAGTCGAATGGGAATGGAAATCGAGGCTGAGCGACTCTCAAGTCGTTCTAGCCATGATGAGAGGTCAGTGTGACTGTTTTTTTTCAATGTTGGCAAGAACTGCAAAAACATTGGTTTTTCCTTCGCCCGTCTGAAAAAAATTTTCTCTTGCTTTTGTTCAATGTTTTCTTTTTTCAGTCGGAATGATCTCTCGGTTGCAAGCTTCAGAAAGAGAGAATTTCGAGAAACCGCCCTCGACCAAACACCAACAGATCGTTCAGCAAAGTGTTTTGGTGAGTGCTGTCAGCTCGGTCAGCTGTCGATTGACCAGAAAGACAGTGAAAAAATTGCAATTGAAACTTGATTCATAAGAATGTGCATTTTGTGGTTTTGGCTGTTTTTCTGAGTGTGCATGTGCAAGAGTGTTTGGATGTGTGTGTGTGTGTGTGTGTGTGTGTGTGTGTGAAATTTTGTAGTTGCAAAGTGGGTTGGTTTGCGGGTGCATGTCTTTTCTGTGCTTCATTTTTGGTGCTCGCGTGTTTTTTGCGTTTTTTCTGTGTCTTCATTTTTGGTCGCTGTGTGGTACCTTTTTGCACCTTCATTTTGGTCGCTGTGTTGCCTTTCTGTGTCTTCATTTTTGGTCGCTGTGTGGTGCCGTTTCTGTGCCTTTGGCTTCAGTGTGCAAGAAAAGTGTCAGTGTGTGGGTAAAGGGTGGTAAGGCATGGGAGTCTTAGAAGACCAAAACAAAAAAATCGTGTGTTTACCTCGTTTTCATTGTGAATGGGTGTGGTGTGTTGTGGTTTCGGCGTTTTGGCAGAGAGTCGTGTGTGTCATAGAGTGTGGTGTGTGTCATTGTGTGGGTGCAAAGTGGCTTTCGTGGGTGGTGCGTGTCTGTCGGCTGGGTGTGGAAGTGTGCGGGTGGTGAAAGGTGTGTGGATTTGGAGACACAAAAAGAAGGCAAGAAATCAACTCCAAAAGCTAGGGAAGCCGAAGTGACCTCCACAGTGCGAGAAAGATCGCACGCGAACAATGCAAGACTGCTTTGTCTTAAATGCCAGCTAAAGACAAGTTTATCAAGCCAAGAACACGCGTATCAACGGCGTTTTTTGTTTTCTTGAGTGTTGATGCAAACAGTATCGAGTAGAAAAAATCTTGTTTGTCTGTGAGTTGATTTCAATTGTTATTGAACTCAAATGAGTTCCAAAAGCAGCTCAATTCTGGGCACCCAAAACGGGCCCTAGATTTTGGATTTCTTGTGAACATACAAGGCCACCCAGGTTGGAGCCTCAAATTGGAACCCAAGTTTAGGAGCCATTTTTGGGCCCAGTTGCGGCGTTTTTTTCACACACGGGAAGCCAGATCTGGCTTTCACAGCTCCTCGTTGCGAGTAAAACAAATAAGCCTCTCAGTCGGTTCCAGTCTAAGTCTTGTGTCAGTCTTCCCCAAAATTAGAACAGCAGGCAGCAAGGCGGCAAAGTGTGAACTTGTTTGGAACCGGAACTTTCTCTAACTGTGCGAGAAAGATCGCACGCGAACAATGCAAGACTGCTTTGTCTTAAATGCCAGCTAAAGGAATGCTTCTTCTTGATAATTCTTTATTCCCAAAAAGCGATGCAACAGATGTGAGGGCACATCGTCCCAAAACAAAACTGTTTTCCGTGTCAATCATTGGTGTTTTGGGGCTTGTGGAGGGAGGGGGTCCGAAAGTGATTCCTGAAGTCCCTCGAGCAATTGGGCCAAGAACGACATTGGGATCGCATGGTGGAGGGAGGGGGTCCGAAAGTGATTCCTGAAGTCCCTCGTGCAAAAAGTCCCTGTGTGTGAGTTTTGTGTGAACGCATGCGCCATGTCAGTGCTCAAAGGCCACAGAAAGCTGTGGCATCAGAAGTTTTGTCGGGCTCTCTACAGGCTTGTAATTGCTTCGCTAGAGGTCCCAGGCTCGGTAACCTCTGAGGTTGCCCTTAGGGCTTCGTGCAAGTCAGCCCCGTGGGGGCTGGCGGATGGTACACGGCCTCGAGCAGCGAGCTCGTTCCAAGGGCCGTGCAGCCTTAGAGAGGCCTGTGAGTCTGTGCCAGGCGCCTGCAAGCAGTGGGATTCAGCCATTGACGTGCTGTGTTTCCCACTTCACGTGCTTGTTTTTGGGTGCAGTTTTGGTTGTCGTGTGGGCAACGTGGACTAGGGCTGCTGTTCCTTGAATGCAACTGAACCTTCAGAGTCTGGAAGAGCCGCATTTTGTCAGTCCCTATCACGAGCTTCGGACAGAAGTGAATCAGCTTATTTTGGGTGTGGACGCTTTGCTGCTTCGCATCCAGAATCTTGAACGCCGGAGTGTTGATTTGCTTTCCATTGCAACAGATCATTCCCAGCAGCTTCGTGCGTCTCAGCAAGAAGACCTGCAGGTGCGTGAAAGTGTTCGGGACCTTGCGGATCGTGTGCTCGCGTTAGAAGAGCGAGTAGAGTCGCTGCGCCTTGACACTGATTCCGCTCTTCGCAGGGCTGGAGATAACGGGATCCAGGTGGCGTGGTGGCTGGATCAACATAATCAGCTGCGTTCTTGGGTGGTCATTAGTGTCCTTTCCCTCTTCGTCCTGCTCCTGCAGGTCGTGCGAGCACTGGCCGGGTGGTGCATTGCAGCGCCCCCTGCGTTCCAGTAAGGCCTGAGTGGCTTTCGATGGCTTCAGGGTCATCGTGTGTGTGTGACAAAGGGGGGGGGGATAAGTCCGATGACCTAGGGGATTTGTTCTTCAGGGCTGCCTTGTGGAATGCCGGTGCAAGACCCAAGCGCCCACTATTGCCGTGGGAATGTGAAGGGTCTATTCTTGCTGACACACTAGGACAACCGAGTCCGTCCAAAGCTATGAGGGTCGAGTGGCCGTCACAAAGCTTGCTGGACCAGGACGATCTCGCTAGTGTGGTGTCTACTGCCGTTTCGGCAAGTGACGCAGACTTGGCGGGGGTTGGAGGCTTGAAACTTGTTGTGTCCAAAAAGTGGCTAAAGAAATCGGGGCAATGCAGGGCATGGCAAGATGAGCGAGATGCAGCTCGCAATGCTGCGCTACAGTCTTGGAAAGCTTTGATTATGGTTTCGGGCACAGGAACCAAGTTGGGGGCTATCATCCTTGATGCAGCTGAAGAAGACGAAGAGCTTGTTCTTGAGTCGGTCCGGGATGCTTTTTCAGGCAAGGCCACGTCTACGTTACGCAATAGGGCAAACTCGTTGTTGTGTTACGGACGATGGAAGGCCTCGCTTGCAGCTGAGCAAGTCGTTGCAGTGTTTCCGATCACCGAGCAAGAAGCTTACAGGTACATTTGCTACATGCGGCGTGAAGGGGCACCGGTCTCAAGGGTGTCAAGGTTCGTGCAAGCCCTTGGGTTCGCCTGTGGTACCTTGGGAGCCAAGGTGTCTGATGTGCTTGAGTCTCCAAGGGTTAAGGGAGCGTGCAGCAACACACAGCCCAGACAGGTGCATAAGAAGGTGCCACTTACCGTCGCTGAGGTGGTCTTTCTTGAGACCTTGGCCGCATCAAGCGCGTGTGTGGATGCCATCATCGCAGGTTTTGTGTGTTTCGCTCTTCACTGTCGCTTGAGATGGTCTGACGCAATGCACTCAGAGGAGGAGCCAGTCCTGGATGCGCCTGAGGGAAGGGGGTTTGTTGAGACGAGCCTTTACAGCTATAAAACCGTAGCTGCAATGAAGTTTCGGTTGTTGCCGGTTGTAGCCGTGCTACCGGGAATGTCCAAGCTTGATTGGGCGGGCAACTGGTTGCGCAACCGGAGAGACCATAATCTGGTGGCGAGCAGGAATTGCCCGCTGCAGCCTGCGCCCGTGTCCACAGGGGGGTGGTCGGCATTGCCGTTCGAGCCCATGCATGGGGCTATGTGGTTGCGTGAGAAGCTGGCAGGTATGCACGTTCCGGTGAGCCGACTTAGCGATATTGCAACTCACTCCCTGAAGGCAACGGTGTTGTCGTGGCTGTCGCGTGCTGCGTGCCCGCAAGACTTGCAGCGCAGGGCAGGGTATCACATGTCAACCTTTGAGAAGAGTGCGTTGGAGTATGAGCGGGATGGACAATCAGCTGTGCTGCATTTCATTGAGGGCGTGTACGAGTGCATCATTCATGCCATGTTTTCCCCTGACGCAAGTCGATCTGGTCGTTGGTCGGGATGCAGGTCGGTTGAAGAGGGCATGAAAATTTTGGCAGGCGCCGTTGATGAGGTGTTCCCACGAGCGACTGAGGGTGATGGGGATGCCAGTGATTTGGAAGATGAGTCGGAGCCCGATGCACAAGGTGCAGAAGCTGATTCCGAGGATGAGCAGATGATGGCGGAAGTAGCTGTGCATCAGGTCGCAAAGGCCGCGCCTATGGCCATGCCGGAGTGCATAGCCTTTAGGCACTGGATGAGTGGAGTTGTGCACTTGAGCCCTGTTGTGACTTCAGATGACGATGGGGAGGCATGCGTGTTCAAGTGTGGGAGGACGGCCAATTCTAACTACGAGCAGCTCAAGTTTGTGCCTTCGTGCAACACCAGACAGTGTTCCGTGTGCTGGATGTGAAAGAATGTGCGTGTAGGCCGTGTAGGGATCTGTGATGTGCGAGTAGGATTATGTGATGTATGTAGTAGCATTTCGTTGTGTGCATGTACGCAGAATCGGTGTTAGGGCGTAGGAGAAGTGTCTCGCGACATGATGCGCGCGCGCGCGCATCATGAATTTTTCCATGCCGGCGGGAGTGCGGGAGAACTGCGTGTTGCTTTCTTGCTAAACGAAACACAGGAGGCATGCCCTGTTTGTGCAGCTTGGGAAGGCCCGAGTGCTCGTGAGGCAAAGGCCCGCGACTGAAAGCTAGCATGTCCATGGTCGACAGTGAGCCTGTGTTTGCTGCGAGGTGCACGCGCATCGGCATCCCGGGAGCCGTTGTGAAGAAGCTTGCTACCCATGGGTGGAACACTTATGCTACCTTTGGCTTCTGCATCCAGAATCATGCTGATGACAAGTCGTTCGAGTCACAGGTCATAGGACCCGTGTTGGGTACCGACCCAGCTATGGTCACCCACGCTGCGAAGTTGCGTAGGTTGTTCATGGAGTCCTACACTGTGTCTGCGGGAGAAATTAAGAGACAGGCTGAGGCGTCGGAACAGGATGCACCGCGGAAGTTGCCACCGCAAGAGATGGCAGCCCGAATCGAGTTGTTGGCAGCGAAGATTGCTCCCTTGAAGATTCAGGATCGCCTTGAGCCATCCCAGAACTTGGTTAGTTTGGCATGCCAGATGTTGGATGAGGGTCGTGTCAAGTACATCTCTTGGGCGCAGTGCACCACAAGGTCGCAGGAGATCAACGCTGTCAAGGAGATCAATAGCCTTAAGATTTGGCAGCCAGCCAAGGATGGTGTCATCAAGGAGACGCGTGTGGAGCCAGGCATGACAGCGGCAGTGGCTACGGAGCTTGAGGTTCACCAGGCGCTGCGTCGCAGAGGCATTGCTTATGCTGTGGCACAGGTGATGTCCTTCGCCCGTCATGAAGAACTGATAGCCCTCTTGTTTGATGAGTTGCAACGCGAGGCAAAGACTGGTTTCCACCCCGTGTCGCTGGCTCAGCTTGCGCAAGCGGACAGAGAGATTCACGTTCGGCTGGGCGAGGCAACCAGGGCAGGTCTGGTGAACGGACCTGGTGGTGAGCTCCCGCTTGATGTTCCGTTGACCCGTGTCTTGCAGAGCCCGGCGGTCATGTGGTTGCTCATGCCTCGACTCAAGCAAGGGTCAGCGCCAGCAACCGAAGATCCGGAGGCGGCTGAAACGCCCAAGAAGAAGAAGACTCGAAAAAACAAGAAGAAAGACCCGAAAAAGGAGGCGGATGTTGAGACACCGCCTGCCAAGAAGCGTCGGGTTCCCATGCCAAAGGCGCTGATTGGAGGCACACCCGAGGATCCTGAGGGAAACTCGCTGTGTTTCGGGTTCTCGTTGAAGACCTGTAAGGTGCATGGGCCGAAGTGCGACAAAGGTCTGCACAAGTGTTGCTTCTGCTACGGGCATCATCCTGGTGTCGAGTGCAGAAGCAAGAAGGCGTGACGTGAGGGTCATGCTGTGTCCGTGCTTGACGATGGGGGGGCCGAAGGGCCAAGCCTTGATGCTCATGTGAAGCCTCCGGCGGGAGGTGATCCGTGGGCGTCCGTGCATCGTCAGGTCAAGGGGCCTAAGTTTGTGCAGCGTGTGCTTGCGGCTAAGAGTCCGGTTTTGTTGCGCCATGAAGCGGTTCATAAGCCGTGCAGCCTTCATGGTGTGGGACACTCGCCTACTGATTGTGATGCAGCTCAGCATCCTGCTGAGAGACTTGCGGCCACGATCAGCAATCCTGACAACAATGATATCCTCAGGCTGTTGAAGCTGTTACCGTCAGAGAAGCCAGCCCGAGGTGTTGCGCAGCCGAATTCACATTCTTTCAGCACAGGTGCTTTTTCTAAAGATGGACGGGTCGGGGTGCGTAATTTTCTTAAGGAGTTTCCTGTCACATCGCGTCTCTTGACGGCTTTCGTGCGCAGACATGCCCCGGGGCATTGCTTTGGGGCCGTAGCGCTCTTTACCAATCTTGAGGCAGATTTTCACAAAGATGTCAACAATGATGCATCATGTCACAATTGGATATGCCCCCTCTCGCATTGGGAGGCTGGCGGCGATGTCTGGGTCGAGGACGAACAAGGCTCTTCCTGGCAAAATGCCCGTGGTGTGTGGCGACGAGGCCGCCTTTTGCCCGTACGACAGAGACCTGTTCTCTTGCCGTCGCGTGACTTGCACAAGGTTTTGTCATGGAAGGGGAACCGGGTCGTGCTGGTGGCGTTCATGCCTCGCGGTTTGTCTGGACTTGAGCCGGAGCATCAGCGCCTCATGTCCAGTGCAGGTTTCGTGCTGCCAGGGACTCGGCATACGTTGCCTCCTTTCGTGCGTGCGGGCGGGGCCCTGAAAGATGCCTTAGTGTCTCCGGGCGCTAGGCCTGACCCTAGGGTTCCACCTCCCCCTCCTGTAGGCGCCGGAGTTGGGTTTCAGGGGTTAAGATGCAAGCACGAGTCCCACCCCACCCTAGGTCACTGTGCTAGGCCTTCCGACGGTTCTGGGTTACCGACCCCTTTAAGCACAGTGACTAGGTCACCTACTGCCGCTCAAGATGCAAAACCTCCCTATGTGCTGGAGATCTTTTGTGGCACTGCCGGCGTTGCTGCCGCTATGCAGGCACGGGGCTGTGATGTCCTTGGGATTGACAAAGACTTGCGTCCGGTGCGCCTGGACTTGTGTGATGCGGAACAGCGTCGGCTGGTGTGGCAGGAGATCGAACGGGCCGATGCCGTCTGGCTGGCTCCTCCGTGTGGCACATCGTCCCGGGCAAGAGGCATACGTTTGCCTTCAGGGGGACCGCAACCCAAGGCCTTGAGGTCGGAGGAGTTCCCACAGGGCTTTCCAAGCTTGCGTGGCGTCAACAAAGCACGGGTGACGGCGGCGAATACTTTGTACGCGTTTTGCGCTGAGGTCTTTGAGCATTGCCGTCAAAACCACAAGGTAGCCGTCATAGAGAATCCCGAACGTTCCTTCATGTGGCTCACTGTGTGGATGCAGCGTGTGTTGTCCTTGGGGCGATGGCATGTACTACATGCGTGCATGTATGGTTCCCGGCGTTTGAAACGCACAGCTTTGCTGGCCACGCATGATTTGCCGTCCATGCGCAGCCAGTGTGATGGCACCCATGCACACATAGCATGGGGGCGCTGCAAGCAAGGCGCCGGGTGGGCGTTCGCTACGGCAGCCGAGGTGAGCTATCCGCGGCCCATGTGCAGTGCCGCGGCCAATGACTTGTGTGCTATCCTGCGGGCAAAGGGTTCCTTGCTTGATGGTTCTTATGCTTCGCGCACTGCTTTGGCCCATGTTGCGTCGCAGCGTCAGCCACGACGCGATGGCCCGCAAGTGGGACCCGCGGAGTTCCTATCCACCGTGACTGTACAGGTGCCTGCTGAGGACGAGGTGCCGGACTGCATACCGGCTAGGGGGTGCTTGGTGCCGGGTCTTGGGGGTGTTCCTGCTGGCTCCAAACTACTTGCCTCACGTCGCTGCGAAGAAGGGGGGAAGGTGGTTCGTGAGGTTGTGTTTGGCATATACAGGACGCCAGATGCATTTGTCAATGAAGCTTTGAAGTGCACACATCCGTTTGACAGGCCGGGAGCTTTAGACATGGACAATGTGCAAGCTATGGCCAATATCTTTCAGCATGGGATAGAGGGCACGAAGGCTTTTCGCGAGAGGATGTTGGATCACTACAGAAACAGAGCAAGGGAGCTGCAGCCCATGGAGGATGCGGCCAAGGGCCAAATGCACCCCGATGTGAAAGCAATTATGGGATCCAAGCGCTTGTTGCTGTTGCAGGAGCTCATGAGCGATGCAGGCGTCCAGGACCGTGAGCTAGTAGCAGACATGGCCAGTGGTTTCCGACTGACGGGTGAACTGAGACCCTCGGGCTTGTTCCCTCGGCAACTGAAGCCGGCTGCATTGACGCAGGATGATCTGAAAGCAACGTCCAGATGGTCCAAGCATCTTGTGGAAGCCTCTTGCCGGAGGGCAGCTCGCGACAAGGAGGTGGCGTCCAAGATTTGGGACGAGACTCTCGAGCAGAAGGAGAAGCAGTGGGTCAGGGATTCAGTAGAAAGCAAGCGCATCTACGATCCCTTTTTCATTTTAGGACAGCGAGGGTACGAGCGTTTTCAAACTGAGATTTTCTTGGACATATGCCGTTGGTCACCTGTGCAAGCTTTGAGGGCACAATGCATCACTGCCTGTGCACGTGAGTGTGATTGTTGTGCAATGCAGTTTTGTGGGTCAGTTTTGCTTGACTTGCGTTTTCCTTCATGTGCAGAAACTTTCTTGAACGGGTTGCCATCCCGGCTTGCAACGCAGTGCTCAAGTGTGAGCGCCACAGAGAAAATTTTAAGTCGTGTTGAGCCTCCGCTACTCCCTTAAGGGTGCCGTGCTAGAGGTTCGAGGTGCTAGAGGTCTCCCCTTAGGGGTCGTGCAAGCCGGGGGCCTGTGTGCTCTCGGTGGATGGACAGCACCTCGAGTTCAGAGGAGAGTTCCCTCAGCGGAGACTGGCCACCCGTGCCTGTCTTTCAGGCGCCTGCCTTTCAGGCGCTCAGCATCAGGCCCCGCTCGTTCCACCTTGATTCACTCGAGCGCAGCCTGGGGGCACCCCCCAGTCTCTTCACGTACGTTCTTGAGGGTTCTCTTTGCGGAGTGCTTCTCAGTTCCAGGGAAGGGGCCCGCGTGCTCCTCTGGCTCCAGCCTTCCAGTTGGCTTGCACTTGCTTGCTCCGGCCGCGGGCCGCACGCGTGCGCCCGACAGCTTCTCCAGCTGTCTGCATAGTGCCCTTTATCCACATGGCTCAGCCCCCTCGTGCCCCAGAAGATTTGCTAGCTGGGGGTTTGGATCCTGGGTCCCTTCGTGTGCCTGAGGACAACGACCGGCGGAGACAGGCAGAGGTGCCTGTTCAGGATTATGAGGCTCATTTGGCTGCCTGCACTCGTAAGGTTAATAAGACGGGCTATTCTCGGTCTTGGGATTTTCGGTTGAGGCCTTCTTCAGTGCTCTTTACCGGTGTGGTTAGGTCACGAGGCATGTTCCCACCAGTGCCGTCTCTTGTGCCTGTGATCACTCCAGTGACGCCAACCGTTGCTGCAGTCACGAAGATTGCGATTTCCCGGGTCCGTTTGGACGATTCTTGGGGTGCTCACCTTGAGAGGAGGCTTAGTGCTGCCATACAAAAGTGGGTTGCTTTAGTGGTTGAGGATCCTTTGTCTTTTGACGTCGGTAGGCGGTGTGCTGCTTTCGTGGGAAATGATGAGGCGATTTCTCAGGGCCTTCTGCACACTTTTTCCGGCAAATCGGCAGGTACCTTGCGCAGCCGTGCTGGGCCTCTCATCAGGTTTGTTGCCTGGGCCAAGGCTCGCCAGCGCAAGCCCTTACCCTTCAGCGAGGCGCTTTTGTATGATTTTCTGCTTGAATCCGAGAGCACTTGTGCGCCGTCATTCGGAAAGGCGTTGATGTCTGCACTTGCATTTTGCAAATTTGTGCTGGGCGTTGAGAATGTTTCTGATGTTCTGAGCAGTGGTCGGTTTGGGGGCTTGGCTCGTTCGATGTTCTTGAACAAAAGGAAGCGACGGCAGAAGCCACCCCTCACCGTTGACATGGTGAAGGCCCTTGAAAGATTGGTGATCTCCGAACGTGAAGGAGATATCGACAGGTTGTGTGCGGGGTTCTTCCTCGTTTGTGTTTTCCTTCGAGCAAGGTATAGCGATGCCCAAGGTCTGAAGAATCTTGCAATCGATGAGCCTGAAGGTTTTGCTGGCCGCTTGACAGGATATTTTCAAGGGGAAGCTTCAAGGACAAAGACGAGTTTCTCGCTGGAAAGGAAGACGGCTCTGCTCCCGATGGTAGGGCCACTTTTCGGCCTGACTGCAGTTCCTTGGTTTAAGACTTGGTTAGGTCTCCGCGAGGACATGGGCATCCCTGAAGGCGAGGACTTTCCTTTGCTGCCGAGTCGTGGGCTGGAAGGGGGTTGGGCTCCGGTCCCCCCTTCAGCTACGGTGGCCGCTGCATGGCTCCGGGGGATTCTTATTTCTCGTGGCTTCCCTGAGGCACGCAAGCTCGGGACTCACAGCTGCAAATGCACGTGTCTCTCTTGGCTGTCGAAGCACGGAGTTGATCCTCTGCATCGGCGTGTTTTGGGGTATCACAAGGCCCCGCAGGATGAGATGATGCACGTTTATGGGCGTGACAATGTTTCTCCAGCCCTGAGGTCGCTGGAGGCTGTCATCCAGGACATCAGACAAGGCCTGTTTTTGCCGGATGTCACGCGGTCGGGTTACTTCCCGACCCAGCCGCAGAGGGAGCCTGGGCCTGAGTTCGTTGAGGAGCCATCGGAATCCGAAGTTTCGCTCGATGAAGAGGACAATGTGCAAGACTTGAGAGCAGAGGAAGCGGCCGCTGATCAGGTTGTGCCGCCTTGGGCTGAACTTGTGGTTCAGGATCCTGATGCTCTGGTTTATGTTCGCCATATAACTTCAAGGAAGTTGCACCGCCTCGCTGACGAGAGTGGGAATCGGCTGAAGTGCGGAAAGGCGTGCACGCGAAAGTTCGAGAGGCTCAGTGAGAAACCAAGGTTTATGGCTGACATGTGCTTGAATTGTTTCAAGTGAGCCCGGCTCAACTGAGGGGCAGCCGGATCACTCGGCGCATGGGTCGTGTCTTTGTGACGCAGCCGGATAGACTCGGCTATGCACTCACCGGTCCTCGCGGTGAAGTTTGATTATGTGAGCAGTTGCACCGGTGCTCGCGGTGCTTTGGCGTGCCGGTCCACTCGGTGAGCTGAAAGTGCTCAGGTTAACCGGGGCACGCGGTTTTGGATGGAAGTCAACCATGACTTGAAAATGTGGCTGTACGGTGCTGTGGTTCCGTGAATGTTGCGATTTGCATACGACAATGCCTTGTGGTTGTGAGTGTAAACTTGAGCATACAGTTTTGGCTGAAGGATCGTGTAGTGCACTTGCAGGACCATTCGCCATGGCCATCACCGAGAGCAAGGCAAACTTTTCTTCCAGGGCGACGGCCTTGGGGTTGGCCGCTGACGTTTTGAAGAAGTTCACTGATGCCGGCATTGATTGCATGAGCAAATTTGCCTTCATTAGTGCGTTCGTGCCCGGCAACACTGACGAGTCCCCTTTTACCGATGCAGTTGCTGGTGTGTTGGGGCGCGCTGCTAATGTGGCAGAGTTGAGCGTGCTGCGCAGGCTTCTTCATGAGAGCTACAACCTCACTGTCTCAGAGCTTCAGGTGCAGGTTGAACGAACGGAAGATTCTGCTCCGAGGCGGTTGGCGGCTCCCGATCGAGCCGATAGGCTTCAGCGGCAACAAGTCAGGCTTACTGGCTTGAACATCCATGGCCCTACTCTCCCGGGTCATTCGGTCATCGATCGTTGTGTTCAGATGTATGAGGATAATTCTCTTTCATACCTACCTTTGCAATCTTGTCCCTGCCGGGATGATGAAGTGAAGTTCAAGAAGGACCGGGATGACAAGATGCTTGCTGTGGATGGCACGGGGCACGTGTCTCTTAGGTCGCAGGCCGTGAAAGTGGAGGCCGATGTGTCCACTGACCTTTTGCTTAAGCATGCACTTACACGTCGTGGGCTTGCGCTGGACCAAGCTGGCATTCTGAGCTTTTCGGAGCATGAGCGTTGGTCTGAGGCGTTGTTTCAGGCTCGATTTCGGGATCCGCCCGACCAGTATGCCCGTGTCACGCTCCAGCAACTCATCCAGGCGGACAGGCAGGTTTTTGTTGAAGCAGCTGATCGGACCCGCCAGGGGATTCAGGTGGTGGCTTCCGGACGACCGGTCGATCGCATTTGGAGTGACGCCATGTCTTGCAACAATGTCACTCACCTGCTGCAACCCTTGCCCTTGCCTCCGCCAGCTCCTTTGCATCCACGGCCTGGGCCCTATGATGACCGCAGGGGTTTGAAGGGTCGCGGTAGAGGTAAAGGGAAAGGTAAAGGCAAGGGAAATGTTCGTATGCCTGCTGAGCTGTCCGATGGAGTGCCGGTCACCACCCGGGGCTTGCCCATCTGCTTCGACCACAACTTGGGGCGGTGTCAGCGTACCGTCACTAGTGGCAAGTGCGATCGTGGTCTTCACATTTGTTGCATCAAAGGTTGCTTCAAGCGGGATCATGTCTATACAAATTGCCCCAAGCATAAGAGGGAGTGACTAGGCTCTGAGGCGCAGGTCCACGTGACTGATGATAAAGATGTAGCACAGCTTGGTGAGGAGCTTGTGCTCTCTTCTTCCGATGATGAGATCCCTGAAGGGGAGTCATCACCGAAACATGTCCCGTGCTCGGCCTCAGTTCCGCCTCAGCCGCTTTCCAGCAACCCCGAAGCTTTTGCGTCTCAGCTGCTCAAGAAGCCGTGGCTTGAGGCGAGCGATGTTTTGCAGCTTTTTGAGATGTTGCCAATGGCCGCGCCCCAGCGTGGAACTGAGGGCAAGGCCTTTGCTACCGGAGCGTTCGCTCGGGTCAAGGTTGGGTTGCGTACGAATGTTGCTGTTTTCCCTCAGGCGTCCCGCGTCTTTGCATCGTTCGTGCGCCAATCTGCCCCAGGGCATAAGTTCACTTCAGTTGTGGTTTTTGAAGGGGTTCGCACAAAACCCCACCGTGATCAGCAGAATTCTTGTGTGCCCAATTTGGTGGTTCCTTTGTCGAGTTTCGAGAAGGGTGAAATTTGGGTGGCCACTGACTCTGGCACTGTCTCTCGACAGGTCAATGGCCAGCAGCAGAAGGGAGTTCTCTTGCCCGTGGGAGCCGGGCCCGTGCTCTTTGATGCGCGTCGTGCTCTGCATCTCACTGAGCCTTGGGAAGGCCGCCGTGTGGTCTTAGTGGCCTTTTCTATCGGTGCATTTTCGAGGCTGTCCGCCGAGGCTTCTGCCCGCTTGTCTGCCCTGCAGTTTAACTTGCCAGGCCAGCCCGATGCTGTTGCGTTCCAAGAGCGCCCGCAATTGCCGGTGCGTCTTCCCTGGCCGCCTCGATTGCCCATCCTTGCATCTGTGCCTTCGGTTCCCGACATTCCTAAGCCGACTGCTGGTGAGCCCTTGTTCTTAGAGCTATGTGCTGGTACTGCCATGTTGTCGCGCTGCTTTCATGAGGTCGGCGTCCCGGTCATGCCCATTGACCACCAACACAATCGGCACCTTCCGTTGGCTAAGGTGTGTAACCTCAGCCTCACTGAGGATTCGACCTGGGACTTCCTAAGACACTTGATTGACACTTGCGACATCCTGTTTGTGCATGCCGCTCCACCGTGCGGCACATGCTCTATGGCCCGGCATATCCGGCGCAAGGGTGTGTCTGCTGGCCCTCTTCGTTCAGAGCAGTTCCCTATGGGCTTGCCGTCCCTGAACGGCGTCGACCGGGCAAAGGTTGAGGCAGCCAACCAGATTTACACTAAGCTGGGTCTTTTCCTGCAGGACTTGGGTCGTCGAGCTATTCCTTGGTCTGTCGAGAATCCTGAGTCGAGTATGCTCTGGCAGCTGCCCTGTTTCCAGCCCTTGGTGAAGGACAACCATGTCTTCTCCTTCGACATGTGTTGTTATGGGGGGTCCCGTCTGACCCACAGGTCTTTGCTCACTTCGTGCTTTGGGCTACGCCATTTTCGCCAGCGGTGTTCCGGGGGGCATGAACATTTGCCGTGGACACCAAAGGTTGCCCCAGGTGGAAAGGTGCACTTCCCTACGGCAGACGAGGCGGCATATCCGCGCCCGTTCTGCGTGCAATTTGTGGCGCTCGTTTTCCGCCACCTTGGGCGGCCCCTGCCTGCCGCGCCTGCCCCTCAGGTGTCAGCCCAGGCGTCTGCCTCTTCAGCTCGCCAGCCCCGTGGGCGTCGTATTCCTCCTGTCATGCCTGAGTTCAAGCGTGTGCTCGTGTATCAGGTTGCTGCGTTGCCCCAGGTGGATCACAAGCGTCGCTTGCTGCAACCTTTGCGGGATGCCCCGGCGGGCTCCAAGCTTATCTCCTCGACGTCGTTGCTCTCTGAAGTGGGGTTGAGTAGCGCCTCGGAGACAACGGTTCAGGCAGATGCCCTAGTCGTCGATTCGAGCTCGTCTGAGTCAGGTGACACTGTGTCTCCAGTGGGTCCGGATGACCAGGCCAGTGCGTGTTTTGAAGTGTCGCTGGGTGTGTATGCTTCCCCCGAAGAATTTGTGGAAGAATGCCTGAACGTTGAGCATCCCTTTGATCAGCTGCATGCTGCGCCTGATGTGCTCAAACAGTGCCTTTTTGACATGCTGACCAAAGGGCCTGCTTGGGTAGTGGATCGTAGGGCGAAGCTGCTCAAGAAGTGGACCCAGTGGGCTCGCGACCTTGAGGCCGAGGAAGCTGGCCTTCGCAAGTCGTTAGACCCTGAGGTTGCAAAGGTGTTGCAAGGCAAAAGGCTCCTGCTTCTTGAGAAGATTGCGTCGTCAATCGGCTGGGTTGACATGGGGGCGTTTTCGCTGAGCTTAGGAAGGGCTTTGATTTGGTGGGGCATGCAGAGCACACGGGGGTGTTCGCGCTTGAGCCCAGGCCTCCGAAGCTTCCTAAGGATGACTTTCTTGCTGCCACAAAATTTCTTAGGCCAGCCCTACTGGGTAAGGTAAAATCGTCGTCCGTGGATCGCAATGCGCGTGAGCTGTGGGAAAAGACGATGCAGGAGGTGGAGAGTGGTATGTTGGAGGGACCTCTGTCGTCGCAGCAGCTGGACGATAGGCATCCCTCTGGCTGGTTGCCCACTCGGCGTTTCGGGGTGGAGCAGACTTCTGCTGCCGGGCGCAAGCTGCGGCCTGTTGATGATTTCACCGAGAACAAGGTGAATCTTGCCTTTGGGTCTATGGATAAGCTGGACTTGAATGCGCTTGATCAACTTATCTGCACCTGCCGCATCTGGGCAAGGGCCATGTGTGGGGGGCATGATTGTGAGCTCGTGCTTTCCTCGGGGCTTGTGCTCAAGGGCCGTGTGCATCCTGGTTGGAAGAAGGCAGGGCATCAGCCGCTTCTGACCACGCTTGATCTTCGAGCTGCCTACAAGCAGTTCGCAGTGTCGGCCGACTCGCGAGCTTGGGCAGTTATCGCTTTGCTTAACCCTGATACGCTGGTGCCGGGCCTTTTCGAGTCGAAGGCGTTGCCTTTTGGCAGCGCGGCCTCGGTGCTGCATTTCAACCGTCTCTCGAGATTGTTGTGGAGGTTGGGGGTTGAGCTTTTGATCCCATGGGGAAACTTTTTCGACGATTTCCCTGCAATGTCACCGAGTGCCATTTCAGACAATACCATGAGTACAATGACTGCCTTGTGTTCCCTTCTCGGGTTCGCCTTTGCTGACGACAAGCTTAGCCCCTTCCAGCCTGCTGCCACCATGTTGGGGGTTGAGGTTGATTGTTCAAGGTGTGATGAGGGTTTGGTGCTCGTAAGGAACAAGCCTGGTCGGGCTGAGGAACTCGTCGTGTCTCTTGAAGAGTTTCTGCGCGAGGGAGTGATCTCTCGAAAGCGTTACCTCAGTCTCATGGGTCGGCTCCACTACACTGATTCATACATACTTGGCAAGTCGGGCCGTTTGATCATGGCGGACATTCGCTCGTGGGCAAAGGGGCATTGTTCCGATGAATTGGTCTTGGACGATGCAGCACGGGAATCGCTGCGTCTGTTCATTGCGCGTCTCCGTGCTTGTGAGCCTCGCCAGGTGCCTTGTGGAGTGGCAAGCCATGTCGTGCACGTCTTCACGGATGGCGCCAGTGAGGGTGAGGTGCACTCGATTGGTGGGGTCCTTGTAGTGCAAGGTAGGCTGCATTCGTGCTTTGGGTCACTTGTTCCCGATCACTTGATCAGCAAATGGACCTCCACGATGCGACACATTATCGGGCCGGTTGAATCATATGCGGTTGCCGTGGCAAGGCGAGTCTGGCACCAGTTCATTGCTTCGCAGCGCGCTTTGTTTTTCATCGATAATGTGCAGGCACAAGACTCCTACATAAAGGGCACCTCTGCCAACCCTCACGTGCGGGAAATCCTCCTTTCTTTCGAGGAGTCGGAGAAGCTTTCCCCTTCCTGGACGTGGTTCGCCCGTGTGGCGAGTCCAAGCAATGTCGCAGACGAGCCGTCACGTGCTGCCTTCGAGTTTCTGCATAAGGCTCAATGTCGCAGGGTCACTCCCTCGTGTCCCATAAGTGGTTTTGACCTTGTGGATCTTGGCGCCCTTGGAAAAATTTGAAAGTGGGGTGAAGGGGGCGGACGCCAGATCCGTTTCGCCCCATGCGACAAAAGGAGTGCATCCGAGCTTTCAGGCATGTGGGATCCGTTGCTTTGCGATTGCACCTTCATGTGAGTGCTGAGCTTTGCAATTCCCTTTCAAGACATCTTAGAGTTTTCTTGGTGGTTTGAAAATCCTTTTATGAAAAGGGATTCAGTAGAAAGCAAGCGCATCTACGATCCCTTTTTCATTTTAGGACAGCGAGGGTACGAGCGTTTTCAAACTGAGATTTTCTTGGACATATGCCGTTGGTCACCTGTGCAAGCTTTGAGGGCACAATGCATCACTGCCTGTGCACGTGAGTGTGATTGTTGTGCAATGCAGTTTTGTGGGTCAGTTTTGCTTGACTTGCGTTTTCCTTCATGTGCAGAAATTTTCTTGAACGGGTTGCCATCCCGGCTTGCAACGCAGTGCTCAAGTGTGAGCGCCACAGAGAAAATTTTACCCACCCACCACTCCCTGCTCTGGCCCGGGTGCCATGAGCAGTTGTGTGCACTGCCGTGCTTTGACCTGCTTGACAGCCTCTTCAGTCTCGGCCCTGCCGGGCTCGTTGGTTTCACATCGAATCCGTAGAAGCTGTAGCCACAGCTCCGTAGGCAGTAGCCCGTAGCTGGCGTGCGTGCTACTCTCCCACCCGCCTCACCCACGCCCCCGAAGGGGGCGGACGCCAGATCCGTTTCGCCCCATGCGACAAAAGGAGTGCATCCGAGCTTTCAGGCATGTGGGATCCGTTGCTTTGCGATTGCACCTTCATGTGAGTGCTGAGCTTTGCAATTCCCTTTCAAGACATCTTAGAGTTTTCTTGGTGGTTTGAAAATCCTTTTATGAAAAAAGGGCCTTTTTCTTGGAGCGAAATTAACGATAAATACAAAGGTGAATGGATTGCATCGAAACGCTTCGGTGTTGTGCAAGGAGAGAAAATCAGGGGCATAGACGACTTGTCTGAATTCCTGGTCAATGCTTCTGTCACGGAGACTGAGAAGGTTGTCTTGGACGGGGTCGATGCCATAGCAGCTACAGCTCGTTTCTTTGTACGGGGTCAACTAGGAGCGACTGAAGAATTCCACCTGCCGGATCGTGATGGTGAAACGTTCAGTGGGCGACTTCACCCCGACTTCCGAGAAAAGGAGAATCGGCAGCTGTACGGCAGGGCTCTTGATTTGAAAAGCGCCTACAAACAACTCGCTCGGCATCCAGACGATGCATGGGCCACAATCCTGGCGGTTTTGAATCCTTCAGATGACACCGTGTACTATTTTGAAGCGGTCGCGCTACCGTTTGGCGGGACAGGATCGGTCACCAGCTTTAACAGGGCGGCGCGTGTGCTCAAAATGGTGATGGCCCGACTGTTTTGGTTGGTGTGCACCAATTATTACGATGACTATTGCCAAATGGAACTTTCCCCGCTGATCGATTCGGCTTTGCAGACGGCTGAGGCGTTGCTGGAGCTCCTTGGATGGGAGGTAGCCCGAGGCGATAAGCTCAAGGACTTCGCGAAGTCTTTCGACATCCTAGGGGTGACTGTCAGGTTCGATAGAGCTTGTGAGGGCATCGTAGAGGTGTGCAACAAGGCCGGAAGGATTGAAGAGCTCACGAGCGCGTTGCAAAACCTTGCGAGTGGGTCCTGTGGTCACAGTGAGCTTGCATCGTTCAAAGGGCGCATGTTGTTCGCTACCAACCATGTGTACGGCAGGTGTGCGCAAATATGCACCCAGCTCATCAGCCAAGCCCAAAGATCCGGTGATGTTGCGGTGGCCCGCGAAGCCCTACTGGATGCAGCGCGCTTGGCGCTGGATACCTTGCGAGCATCGGGCCCGCGACGGCTGTCGTGTTGGGCTCATGAGCCGCCCGTGCTCATCTTCTCTGATGGTGCCCATGAAGATCAGATTGTGACACATGGAGCAGTGCTCTTTGACCCACTGTCAGGGAGACAAGAGTTCTTTGGTGATTTTGTGCCAGAGTGGCTAGTGAAGCGGTGGAGGTCTAAGGGCTTAAAGCAGTTGATCTTTTTCGCTGAGTTGCTACCTGTGGCAGTTGCCAAGGCGACCTGGGCACATGTGCTCGAAGGTCGGCTCTGTTTCTTCTTCGTGGACAATGAAGCCGCGAGAGCCAGCTTGATCAGATCCTTCACACCTGTGATCAATGCGACTTCCATCCTGATGGATGTGGCTTTGGCAGATGTCAAGTCTAATGCAATATCCTGGTACTCGCGCGTTCCATCTAAGAGCAACATAGCAGATGACGCATCCCGCTTGTGCTTCGCCAGATACCAGTCCATGTTTCGCCAAGTTGCACCAGTGTATGAAAGCATCACTTGAAAGGCAGACGGGGGTGGTGAGGAAGTGATGCTGTGAAGGTGTGCGAGGGCACACACTTGGAACCGACGTAGGTGTACTCCTCAACGGAGGAGGGACCTGGGTCGTGCATCTGCAGGGCTTCGTACCGTCCCCCGTTGTGCGTGTGAAAAAGTGGGAGGAATGAGCGTGATGCATGTGAAAAATTTTGAAGATATGTATTCGTGATGGTGAAGAAATATTCTGACAGTTGTGTTTGGGATTGTATCGGTGAGAGGGAATAAGGAATGCTTCTTCTTGATAATTCTTTATTCCCAAAAAGCGATGCAACAGATGTGAGGGCACATCGTCCCAAAACAAAACTGTTTTCCGTGTCAATCATTGGTGCTTTGGGGCTTGTGGAGGGAGGGGGTCCGAAAGTGATTCCTGAAGTCCCTCGAGCAATTGGGCCAAGAACGACATTGGGATCGCATGGTGGAGGGAGGGGGTCCGAAAGTGATTCCTGAAGTCCCTCGTGCAAAAAGTCCCTGTGTGTGAGCTCCAGTGTTTGCATGAAGTATTCAACTATATTTTCATTTGTGGGAAGGGGCACGAGTGTTTTTTTTGGGATGCACTGAATCACGTTTTGTGTGAACGCATGCGCCATGTCAGTGCTCAAAGGCCACAGAAAGCTGTGGCATCAGAAGTTTTGTCCCGCCCAACCCACCCCCTGGAAGTGATGCTGTGAAGGTGTGCGAGGGCACACACTTGGAACCGACGTAGGTGTACTCCTCAACGGAGGAGGGACCTGGGTCGTGCATCTGCAGGGCTTCGTACCGTCCCCCGTTGTGCGTGTGAAAAAGTGGGAGGAATGAGCGTGATGCATGTGAAAAATTTTGAAGATATGTATTCGTGATGGTGAAGAAATATTCTGACAGTTGTGTTTGGGATTGTATCGGTGAGAGGGAATAAGACAAGTTTAGCAAGCCAAGAACACGCGTATCAACGGCGTTTTTTGTTTTCTTGAGTGTTGATGCAAACAGTATCGAGTAGAAAAAATCTTGTTTGTCTGTGAGTTGATTTCAATTGTTATTGAACTCAAATGAGTTCCAAAAGCAGCTCAATTCTGGGCACCGAAAACGGGCCCTAGATTTTGGATTTCTTGTGAACATACAAGGCCACCCAGGTTGGAGCCTCAAATTGGAACCCAAGTTTAGGAGCCATTTTTGGGCCCAGTTGCGGCGTTTTTTCACACACGGGAAGCCAGATCTGGCTTTCACAGCTCCTCGTTGCGAGTAAAACAAATAAGCCTCTCAGTCGGTTCCAGTCTAAGTCTTGTGTCAGTCTTCCCCCAAAATTAGAACAGCAGGCAGCAAGGTGGCAAAGTGTGAACTTGTTTGGAACCGGAACTTTCTCTAACAGTGCGAGAAAGATCGCACGCGAACAATGCAAGACTGCTTTGTCTTGAATGGCAGCTAAAGACAAGTTTAGCAAGCCAAGAACGCGTATCAACGGCATTTTTTGTTTTCTTGAGTGTTGATGCAAACGGTATCGAAGAGAAAAAATCTTGTTTGTCTGTGAGTTGATTTCAATTATTATTGAACTCAAAGGGGTTCCAAAAGCAGCTCAATTCTGGGCACCGAAAACGGTCCCTAGATTTTGGATTTCCTGTGTGAACATACAAGGCCACCCAGGTTGGAGCCTCAAATTGGAACCCAAGTTTAGGAGCCATTTTTGGGCCCAGTTGCGGCGTTTTTTTCACACACGGGAAGCCAGATCTGGCTTTCACAGCTCCTCGTTGCGAGTAAAACAAATGAGCCTCTCAGTCGGTTCCAGTCTAAGTCTTGTGTCAGTCTTCCCCCAAAATTAGAACAGCAGGCAGCAAGGTGGCAAAGTGTGAACTTGTTTGGAACCGGAACTTTCTCTAACAGTGCGAGAAAGATCGCACGCGAACAATGCAAGACTGCTTTGTCTTGAATGGCAGCTAAAGACAAGTTTAGCAAGCCAAGAACGCGTATCAACGGCATTTTTTGTTTTCTTGAGTGTTGATGCAAACGGTATCGAAGAGAAAAAATCTGAGTTGATTTCAATTATTATTGAACTCAAAGGGGTTCCAAAAGCAGCTTAATTCTGGGCACCGGAAACGGTCCCTAGATTTTGGATTTCCTGTGTGAACATACAAGGCCACCCAGGTTGGAGCCTCAAATTGGAACCCAAGTTTAGGAGCCATTTTTGGGCCCAGTTGCGGCGTTTTTTTCACACACGGGAAGCCAGATCTGGCTTTCACAGCTCCTCGTTGCGAGTAAAACAAATAAGCCTCTCAGTCGGTTCCAGTCTAAGTACTGTGTCAGTCTTCCCCCAAAATTAGAACAGCAGGCAGCAAGGCGGCAAAGTGTGAACTTGTTTGGAACCGGAACTTTCTCTAACTGTGGAGGTCACTGGAGCTTCCCTACCTTTTCGATCAGTTTTGCTGCCCCTCATCTTGGGTTTCAGATTCTACAGGTTTTGGTGCAAGGCCTGAAGGCAGAAGAGGAGAAAAGAAGGGTGCAGAGTCAACATCGGTGGAAACTGCAGCTTGCAAAAGTTCAATGCTTTGAAACGAGTGTTTTTAAAAGCCTCTGACATGCCGTTTGGACAGAAATCAACTGCAGGACGAGACGAGTTCAACCGTGGTGTTGATTCGTTAAG